AGAGTCACCCTCTCCAATAGGGCCAGAGAACATGGCATTAATAATCCCAGCCTCATTCCTGAAAACTCCCCCAATCCCAGAAGGCCCAGGATTCCTTAAGCTACTACCATCAAAATTCAGTTTAGGGGGGGGGACCAAGAAAGTCTAGAGGTCCTCTTGCATTGGGCCAAGGTAGCTATTTCTTTCCACTTTCTCAAAATGTCAGCCATGGAATAATCTGAAAATAGCTCCAAAGATTTCAGCCAGTGACCAACCCTTAGGTGTATCAATTCAGTTAAGTTCTCCATAGTTCTTTCCTTGTCTGAAAAAAGTCGAGTTCCTCTCTTCCCATATGGACCAACACACTGCCGCCCTAATGCTTCTCCACATGATCTTCCCTCTTTTCTTAGGCCATCTTGAGAATGAAGGAGAGAACAAGCTTTACATACTTACGGGGGGATTCCAAGTACATCCAAAAAGGGAAAAAGCTCACTCCCAAACAGTTTTAGTAACCAGACAAGTAACCATAAGGTGGTAAACCGTTTCCCCATCAGCTTTGCAAAGAACAAACCTATTGGGAAGTAAGCAGGAATTAAGTCTCTTTCTTTGAAGCAAGTCAATTGTGTTTATTCTTTTCAGAAAAGTCTCCCAACAAAAATTACCAACCCGGGGAGGAATGGGTTTGCTCCAAATCTCATTAACAGGAAAGAACAACCCAAAGGGAGTAGGAGGTTGGACCAAAGTCTCGAAAAATGACGCACAAGAAAAGGAATCATTTGAGGAGGGGGTCCAAATTCTGGAGTCATCCTTACTCGGGTCCAAAAAAACATTTTCAAGAATGGCTAGTAAGGATGATAGGCAACCCAAGTCTGTATCCCTTATTGTTCTCCTCATCCTTAGAATAGAATCAGAAGGGACTAAGAAAGAAGAAATGGGTTCATTATTCAAATTTGACAAGGCATATAGGGAGGGAAATTGGTCCATCAGGGATGAGTCCCCAACCCAAGGTTGCTCCTAGAATTTTATGAGATTACCAGAGTTCAAATCATACCTTATCCAAGTGGAGAAAACCGGAAGCAAATCATGAATGGCTTTCCAAGGGGAAGCAGCTGTAGTCCTTGCCAAGATTCCTGGATCCTAGTTAGTCTTCCAGCCCATGTATGCTAGCCACAATCTTCGTCCATAATTTGTCTCTTTCCATTGGAAATGTCCATAACCATTTCCCCAACAATGCCATATTTCTTTTCTTGATATTCCCAATCCCAAGCCCTCATACTTCTTACTTCTAGTTACCACCTCCCAACTCACCCTATGATCTTTCTTCTCCTCTCCTGGTTCCCACAAGAAATCCCTCATTAACTTTTCCACTCTAATTGAGACCTTTGTGGGAATCTTAAACACCGACAGAAAGTAAACAGGAAGGTTAGTTAGGGTAGACCTAATCAAAGTGATTCTCCCCCTTAGTGAGAGATAACTTTTCCTCCATGAAGCAAGCATTTTCTCAAATCTTTCCATAACTGGGTTCCAAAAGCTGTCATTCATGGGATTATCTCCTAAGGAGAGGCCCGAATAAGTCAAAGGCCAATCTGAAATTGCACACCCTAACAACCCTGCATATTCACTTACTTCCCTCTCCTCCAAATTCACTCCCACCATACAGCTCTTATCAAAGTTCACTTTGAGATTGGACATCTGCTCAAATAACTGTATGGCCAATTTCAAATTCCCTATCCAATTTATGTCCCCACCTGAAGGGATGAGAGATCCATCAAATGGATGGCCGAACCCTGTAGGAAGGTAGTGCGAAATTTCAAAAATTTCTCTCTCCCCCATGTGGGAATCGCATTCCCTGTTTTAGAAAAATTGCATTTTTCAAGTCAATATTGAACCAAGAATCGAACCAGATCTGAACCAAAACAGTAGGAGAGGGATATACCTGATACGAAGATGCAATATCTCCCAACGAAGGTGTTCACGCCCAAAGAGAGACTCGAAAGACTGCTCCCACTAAAGATGACACAATGAATGGTGGAGCAGAATCAGTAGGGTCCGTCCAACGAACCGAATTCTTCAGCAAGAATTCGATGGAGGCAGTGAGCACGACTTTTGATCAGTCTTTCTCCAAAGACTGATATCAAGACACTTCTTGATCGCTCCCTACAAAGGATGGAGATCGAACTGGTTGTGGCGGCAACTGGAGGAAATCGCAGGGAGAAGATGGCATAGTCACACTGTTGTTGTCTTCTCTCTGGGTGCTTTGAGATCTGATCTTTGAGATTTATAGGATGCTTGGGATGCTGAGGATGATCTGAATGGTTCGCCCCCTCCTCCTTTTATAGCCTTAAAGAGAGCTCTTAATCTCATTAGGAGTTTCCTAATCCAAATCTGTATTTGGATAAGGAGTCCTCTTTAAGAGATAAGGATAAACCCTTATCTTATCTGCAGATTAGATCAGCTCTCTCCTAATCTCATTAGAAGGTTTCCAGATCTGAATTCAGATCTGGACTCTCTGAGTGGATAGGGTAAGACCCTATCCTATCTGCTGATTTAATCCCAGATCTACCCCTTATTTAACTAGTCAAACTAGGCCAGTTTGAAATAGGCTTTAGGCCCAATAAGTCTAAGTGCTCAAAATGCTTCCAACCTGTTGGCCCAGTTGGGCTTCTTTGTATGGCGTGGGACCCAAACATTGACCTACACATCAGCCACATGGGTTCAGCCCAACCTTTGTTACAAGGCCTGGCCGAATTCATTGAAAAGACAGTGAACCCCCTGAAGCCCATCACATGGACTCCTAATGGGCCCAACACTTACACTAAGTGGTCCCTGGGCCAAGCCACCTTATAAAAACCCAGGGACTGTGGGCAGATACAAGATTAGCCCATCAGGTATTACCCTCAATGGTCTTAC